CTTCTCCAGCTACATCTTTCTAAACCAGCTGTGGTAAATCTGGCTCAGGTGGAAAGCACAGGCAGAAAGCCTTGGGCAGAGGGCTTTTTGACATCTGTAAATGCGTTATCCCAAAGGATTTGAAGGCAAGGTAATAAAAGTCCATTACTACAGAGATCCTGTAGCAGCACATCTGGAGCTCAATCATTCCTCAGTAGCAGAAAATCAAGGTAATAAAACCTAAATATTGTTCTTTGACTCTAAATAGCATCCAGTGGCTAAACACAGATTGTAGGAGCTGGCTGATGAGCTCACCCCACATCAAGCCAGGATACTGGACAGCAGGGGTGGCTCTTCCCATCACCATCACTTCTCGTTTCTGGAGGGTGTCAGAGTCCCGCTGGCCATGGCTTTTGGGGCAGATGGGCAAGGAGAATATCCACTTTGTATTCCCAAGGAGGCTGGAGTTGCAACGTCTATGCCATCAGCCCTGCTAGAGCGCTGGCGATGCTGTGCAGATCTCCTGGCAGACACACAGATGCTGAGGGACTTCAGGTGTTAGCAGTATTACGCGAGGGCTTTGTGGAGGCCAGTGGTGCCTAGAGACTCAAGTCTAGTCTTTCAGGATCAATTAGCCAAGTTAACTAGGGCATCTGAATAACTAACTAGGGCATCTGAATAAATAACAGATGAGCACCTGTACTGGTGATTTAGTTTCTGAAAAGTACTGGTGAATTTGTGATCCACGACCCCAGAGAACAGCTGAAACAGAGGCAGCTTGCTGGAGAGCAGACTCTGCTTGTTGGAGAGCACATGGGACCTGACTAGTATGGCTGTGGGTAAAACTACTGGGAAAGGATTAGGCAAAGAGAAATCACGTATAAAACAAGCACACAGAAAAACAAACTCAGCAGAGCTACTTTCCTTCTTCTCCCATTTTGAGAAACTGAGTGCTTCATCTCCTGATGTCTTCTGTGCTCTGTCATATAGCAGAGGCTGACAGAAAATTTCTGTTTCCCTGGTCACCCTGTTAATAAGCACTGATGAGAAAGGAAAGGGGAGTGAAGTTATGACAGTTTAATGAGGCTTCTGCGACATGGTTTGCTGGCATGTGGAGGTGCCTCTCGCAGAGTCTCAGGATGTATGCTCAGTATCTGCCAGCAAGCGACTGAGGCCAGCATTCAACACAGCCCCAGGCTCCAGCCTCTGTCCATCCTCTGGTCACTTGGAGACACCATGCCACACTCTGTGATGAAACTACAGGAGCAGTGAATGGAATAAGACAGACAAGGAACTGGTCTCCCATTTCTATACCAGTTTAGGAGGAGAAGGAGAAAAATTTCCAGTGGTAGTTTGCTTTGAAAGAGAATCTGAAGGTTAAAGAATATTGTTACCATAGAGGCGAGGCTGATGCTCTGCAGAGTCCAGAGAACATACCTCAGCACAACTCATCTCCCATTGCATTTTGATTTTGACCTTAACGTGCTCATACAGGCAAGCTCCAGAAAGTCTGTGGGTTACTCCAGTTATGATCCTTGGACACTTTAGCTGAATATTTATTCCAGCCTACAAAAATGTACCAGTTCAAGAATAAGACTTGCCCTTTGCCATGGTAACTGAGGAGAGGGAAACCTGAAGCAGTGTATTTTCCCATACAAAGCATGTTACTCATTGTGAGAAAACAGCAATTTATCAGGCTGCTTCATTCAGTCATAGGCTAGGCTCAACGGGACAAATTTTGCGTGTAGTTGCCTCCCAAGAGGAGAAAAAGGTATGGTTTGGAGATCTTGTTAAAGAGCTCGGTCATTGTGTTTTAGGTGAAAGAGTAATGAACGGAGGTTTAGGCAACAGGAAAACGCAGAAATTTATCCAGGTGTTTCAGGAGGGGCTTTTCTTTCTAAAATTGCCCAGAAGTCACATGTTATTTCAAAATACTCTAAGTGCTAACTCTGAAGCCTCTGACACACCCTTCATTTCATTATGAGATGGCTGTTATGAGACCAGGAGCCCTTCTGCCGACTGTAGTGGTCTCCAGCTATAAAAGTTTGACATCTGTTTGATATTATTATTCCATTAGAAGAGTAAATCTTCACTCTCCTGGCTTTCTTGTGGGCTCTGACACATTCCACTTCAGTGACAAATGTCCTGTGAGCCAGCAGTGATTTGACAGGGTGGGGGTACTACTGCAGAGGAACTGACAAACGGTTTCCATGAGAAGTTGAGTACCCTCAGGAAGCAGACAGAATTTCTGCATAGACATTGAGCTGAAAAGGAAACCCCCAAACTGCAAGAGATTGATGACAACCCAAAAGGTTCCTCCCCAAATAACTAAATTTGCATGTGACATTACAGACTTGCATAAGAACCCAAAGCCGATCAAAGATCACAGCAGTTCGTACTCACAGGTTTCCTCATATGTGGAAGCAGGCTACAATAAAGCAGCGTGTTCTTGACCTTATGAATGGTTTCTGCTTCCTTTCGTAACAGAAAGGAGCGAGAGCTCCTACTGGTTTGCATCCAATCATTCCAGTGGAAATTTGAGACCCAATGAATCTGTTTCATATAAGTTTGCCAAACCCAGGCTGATAGCAAGATTATTCACCAGCCCAAAGCTCACAGAGGATCACACTCCAACAACACTTTAAAGTAACGCTGGTGGTCAGGGTGATAATACAGGGTAATAGCTCTTTTCACTCAAGGATCTCCAAATACTTTACAGATGTGAATGGAGAAGTGCAAAGTGGAATTTCCCAGCTCCACTTTGCAGACAACTTTTTGAGAGCTTACCATGTTCAAGCAATTCATCCTGGCTAAGAGAAATAGAAAAGGAGGCCCCAGGAACTTGATTCCCACTACTTGGATGAAAGCATTAGACATGACGTCAGCTCCTCACAAGATAAGAGTTCATTGTTTCATGGCTGGGTGTCTTCTCCTTCAGTGCAGAGATTAGCTCATGTAAACTAAACATGAAAATAACAGACAATCCTTCCTCTCCAGCAGCAAGCACAGAAAAGGCAAATTGTCTTTCTGGCCCTGTCACTGACATCACAGGAATAGTGGGTGCAATGAGCTTTGCATTTAACACCACAAACATAAATCTCAGAGCCAAATTTGTGATGGCTGGGACCATCACTGGGATTCTCATTCCATTGTTCCCATTCCACCATCAACACCAACACTGCAATACCCCTGTGGTCTCCCGTCCAGAAGGAAGTGGGACAGTTTCCTTGAAGGATTAATTAGTGACTACAATAAAAACAAACAAAACCCCCACAAGTCAACCCTGACAACTCTTACATCTTTTCTACTTGTAGAGCCTCTTGTGATTTTTTAGTTGTGTTTTACCAGTTTTCTAGCTTCCAAGAATTTCTTCCCCCTAGATAACCCGCAAGTTTCTAACATAAAACTACCTTACAATCAACTGACATTTCAGCCAAGCTTTTTTTATCAAATAGAAAGAAGTACAGACCAGAGCACAAACACAAAAGTGTCCCCTCTGCAGTCATCCTTAGGTATTTTTAATCCCACAGGCAGGGCAGTGTTCCTGTGTTCATATTCACACAAATAGGGGCTATAGCATTGGCTGTTAGCAAGTGTCTTTACACAGCAAGCAGGCGACTGCAGCCAGGCAGGTTGATGTACTGGCTGGCCGTCATACAGGACATGTCTACACCATGCTGCTGAACAGCAAAGGAGAGACTCCTGTCCTAAGAGCAGCATTGCACAAGCACAGGGTGCAGCACAGTGCTACGCAGAGCCACCGCATCAACAGATGCTGAAATTTTCCATGACAGACTCACCCCTCTCAGAACTTGGTTCATCAGCTGTGACTGAACGGTCCTCAGCATTTCAGTCCCTACTTCCTACATCCCTCCGCCCATAGCCAGCAGGGCAGTCAGACCTGATGTAAAGATAGGTGTCTCAGTGGATGGGTATGCGCTGTCGTTAGACACTGGACACGATGCCTCCTACCTCAAGGGAGACAAGATGAACTGAGAGCTGATGACACACGTACCACCCACTCCCTTCCCTTTAGGCAGGAACACACACACACAGAGCTGGCTGGAGATGCAGAAAGAGGGAAGATCAAACCTGGCTCCTTCAGCTGTGAAGAAAGACCCTACAACATACCGACAGGCAGCAGCCTATTCATCAGGCAGAGCCTGCAGCTCTCTGCCACTCCTTATCTGTATCATCTGCTGCTTTAGGAACAGCAGAAAAAGCTGCTTAGGAGCTTGGGGATTTCCAAATATTATTTTTTTTCTCCTTAACAGTTGTTCTCACTTATGGTAACCTCTCCAGATAGTCATGGAGACTTTAATCTCTGTTCTTTTTCCAGAAAGAGGAACTCAATGCAGTGCAAGAGGTGCATATACAACGCTGAGGCTGTGGTTCTGGTCTTCTCATATCAAACTCCCTGGTACACCAAGACCCTCTATCCCAGCTAGTCAGTAAGAATGGAAATATGCACTCGGTCTGTCCCACCATTAAAAAGACAATGCTTATAATCCTGGCCTTCTCACTCTGCAGACTTAAGTGCCAGCAGGGAAGCTCCTGTTTTTAACAAAGCGATAGACAGGCAGCCTGCAGACTCACACAGCCATCACCGTGTGGAGTAACATGCCATTTCCAGTTAGATGATTTCCTTCACAATGGTGAAAGTTAGAAACTTCCTTTACAAAATGCAAACAAACCAAAGTTTAGATTCTGCCTGTGCTGAATGAGGCTCATAAATGCATGATGGAGGCCAGATACAGCCCACAGGGCATACGTTTGACACCTGCGGCGTACATGGACAGGAAATGGTTATAAATAGTCCCATTTCAGTTCTCTGAAGACAAATATTTTTGACACAGAGTACTCAAGCACAAAGAGTCATTTGTAGACCACCCAGGAGACTTGCATCTAAATGACCTTTCTTTGCTTGGATGATCAATGATACTAATGTTTATTTCACGAGTTGCAACATTTGTTCTTAAATGGAAGCAGCCCGGAGGAGCCATGTATATAATCCCACTTACTTGTTGGTAACTGCCTGCATAAACTCATCAATCAGTTCGTCGTACTGTTTCCCACGAACCCTCTTGTGTTTCAGTCCAATATAGAGTGGATCATTCAGGAGAGCCTAGGACACAAAGCAATTCTGTTGACATCTTCTCTTCCACGGATGGATGGAGATTTATGTCCCAGCCTACCCAAGAAGTTTGTCTGTTGTGGTCATATTAATTTTACTTACTGTGCAGTGAAGGCCAGCTCACACAGCTCTTCCTGAGCAGAAAGAGTTTCCATAAGAAGCTATGGACTACCTTTTTGTGTAAATAAAGTTGGAGGGATGTAATGTTTCTTGACTGCTGTAGGGAATGGAGCTCTGCATCCCCAGGACAGCTCTACCAAAGGCTCCCTGTCAAGATGCCTCACTCCTAGTGAATAAAACTGACCTTGTGTGGGGAGTGTTGACTGTTCACTCAGTTCTTAATTTTGCGCTGAAGTTACCATGAAAGCTGCTGACAGTGCTTTGAGCAATGAAGATCACCTGAAGCAACTTGAAGTGACCATTTAGGCCTTTAGGTGACAGCCCAAAGTTGACCAGAACCAGTGATCAGATGCCAAAATGTTCCCAAGCCGTGCAATTACCTAGCACTCACCTCGGTTATCTGCAGGCGTCAGGGCAAGGTATTTTCATACAACAGTTTAGTTTATTTCTTGGCTTCTGCTAGGATTATAAAAGCATGCCATTCCTCCAACCAACCCAGCACGTGTTACGTCAGGACCTCTAAGCCACCTCAAAAGGACTCGGTCAGCATGGAAACAGCACATATTTTGGGGAAAATTACAGGACAAACAGTGGCAGGAGACAGGTGGGCCAACACCTCCGTGAATCACTGCAAAGCAACTCTGCTTCCCTTCGAATTTCAGGAATTGAATCATCCACATGAGAAGAGGACGAGAAATCACAAACCTATTGACCTGAAGCCATATGGGCCCTAAATTTGGCAGGTATGCTAAAATTATCTCAGTTTTTACAGACACAGCTGTTTTTCCTTAGAAGGAAAGATGAAAGAGGTTTTCCTCTGAGTTTGATACATTAACTCTTCAGGGCCATGAAGCAGAGAGCAGACCCATTGGCATTACTTCACTGATTGCCCCTACAGCACCATGTGCTCTGGGGCTAGTTCATGGAGTATAAAATTCTCCCATAGGCATGCTAAGAAATGCCAAACTCTTGAAAAAAGACCAGTGAAAGAGTATACAAAGTATTATGGACTATCAGAAAGACAAGCTGGGAATTGCTGCTAAAAATATTATACGACTGCTATATTTACTCCATTCTATCTGAGATGCTTGTGTTAGCAACACAGCCACCCTAGGCTCAACATATATTGACAGGCAGAGATGAATGCGATGGGTGTCTACAGGAGGTGTCTTATTTCTGCACTGATAAATGAGTTTACTTGTGGGGCAGGATGCTCCTAGGATGTGCTTAGGGTTTGGTTCAGCTGGGTTTATGAACATGATAAAGCTATTAAATAAATGAGCAAATTATTTACATTGTGAGGGAATATATTGTTTATATTGCTGGAAAACAGCAACTTCTATATCTTAATCCCAGATGTGGAAATTGCCTACACAGAGAAGTTCCTGCACACATAAGTTACCCTTGATCTTGGGCAGAACAAAAGTGCCCAAGACTGACTCTGGGAGTCCCTTTTTCTTGGAGATGCCTAAAAATCGTTGGTTTTAGTGTCCCCCCTGGATGCTGATGGTCATGCACGGTCAGAAGCTTGGTGGGGAAGCACTTCACGCAGGTCCCTCTGGAGGGAAGCTCCAGCTGGGGGGCTCAAAGCATGCCAGCAGTCAGTGGTATGCAGACCAGCATGGAGAAGGAAGAGATGAAGGCACCAAAGTCAAGTACAGTGCTCTGTTGACTGGAAATTCCAAGAAGTGAGAAAATGAGATTTAATTCCTGCTTTAGCCTCAAAGGGTCCAAACTCTGAGTTCCCATTTTTCAAGAAAGACCATGATCAGGCTGAGATGAACACACTCTATATTCCACCAGGGATAAAATAATCCTGGACCAGAAACCAAAGAGGGAATTGGGAATCTCGTCCCAGATGTCATCTATGGCCACTGATTTTGCTTTCTTTCACTCTTTTTAAGTGAAAGAGGTGCAGAAAATCTAGATTTCCAGTGAGCATCGGCATGTCTGAAAATGTCGGCACTCAACTATCTTCATACACAAACTCAAAGCTCTTATATCCCAGGTTTGTTATTTCTCTCAAGAAACGTGTTTGGTTTACTTGAGGTCAAATGAGACACAAGTATCTTTTACAAAAACGGACAAGCCCAGGCCATCAAAAATAACTATAGGATATTAATTTTAAAAGAGACATCCTCACAGATGTCCATTCTGGCATTGCTGAAGCATTGCACTTTGGCCTTTCTGAGACAGAGTCATAAGGCAAAAATCTGCAAACAGATGGAGTCCTCCCGTCTGGTTATCATGTGCGGTAAAGTGTGCAATCTGACAAAACACTGAAATTAATCATTCCCAAACCACCCACCAGGGATTCTCCATTTTCTGAAATACAGTCACCTCTATGCAGACACGAGTATCTGTCTGTTTTCTCACAATTACCAGAGGAAGAATAAATCTGGGACTTCCTGTACAAAATCTTTCAACTCACCTTGCCATGCTGAAAGGTGGAGCTGACCCTTCAGCTCCAACTGGCAACACGCTGAGTTTTCTCACCAGGGGACCATGAGGATCTTTAGTGTTTATTTCAGTTCCCCATAAAAGCAAAAGTTTCTTGAGCATCAAATAGGAACGAAACCTGGCCACTTCCATGCAGTGCTGGCCTAGCCATCGTCTCATCTTGGATGTCTCTGGCTTTGCCTCTACATTTAGGGAACTGGCCGTGGTTAAGCATTAATCTCAATTCTTTCACCCCCCTCTCAGATTTATGAAAAACTGTCTTACCTCGTTGTCTGTGCCAACATCCAGCAGGACAGGGAGACACTGTTGTGGGTTTACTCCACCACAAGCTGTGTACAAAGCAAGCTTCCCCACTGGGATACCCATGCCATAACTTCCTAGATCTCCTAAACCGAGAATCCTCTCTCCATCTGTCACCACGATAGCCTAGGAGGATCAAAAGAGACTGTTGTATGGTGTTGCCAAGGCTCTAGAAGCAAAACCAGCTCAATTGTCTTCACACCAATGCCATTGTACAATGGTTATTTGCTCTTTCTATGTGACACCATGATAATTAGCTGTTAGTGATAGAGGGCTGTTCATTTTTGGGGGCAGAGATAACATGACTGATGGGTAGCTGCTCACAGTGTGGGAGAGGAGCAGCTCCACTTGCCAGTGCTTCAATTCACTTGTAGCAGAACGCAGCCAGCATGGCTCTTTGTGCATCCTCAGCTGTATCACCAGAAGCTGAACAAGAGATGTGGCCTTTATTTTTCCTCTCCTTTTCAGGAAAAAGAGCTCTGTACAAAAGTGCTTGTGCTTATGAACTGCACCTGTGGAACTATGGCTGGACTTGATGATCCTAAGGGTCTTTTCCAAACTAAACGACTCTATGATTCTATGACTCCAACTAGTAACAAGCTCATGTCTTCCCACTGTTGTAGAGTAGCTGTGGAGTACCAACATCAGACAATCAAAACTAAATTAATCATAACGGTGTCCCTTTCCTTCTGGTACCCCTGACTGCAAGGCAGTTAGACAGAAGCCACCAGCACGGGCAGCAGCATGGACTGTGGAGGGGCTCCCCCTCCATGTATTTAGTATTAGACCTTTTCCTTTCCCCCAAGTTGGGAGTTAAGCAATTGCCATTTAACTCTTTGTGCAAGTGGCTTTCTGCAGTTCAGCAATGCTACAATGTGCTACCTCACCAAAATCTTTGATCCTTAATTTTACGTTTTTCTTGTTATTGTATAATTTCTTTGTGACAAGATAGGAAATAAAAGCCTGCTTAATGTTGTCCAAATGAGAAGCCTAAAGTTGAGCTGTTCAACCCACACAGTACATCGAGAGCTTAGGCAGATCTGACTAAACCTCATAACTTTTAGGTTAACTGGTCTGTTTGTCAGTTTTGTCCCCAGGGTCAGGCACTCTTTGGGGCAGTTCTGAAATCCAGTAAGAACAGGAAGATGTTGGAGTCCAGTCCCATTGTGGGAGAAAAGCTGCAAATACAATAATAAACTTCAACTTTCAGCACTGTCCCAGCACTTCAGAGAACAGAGCGCTCACATCAAATGGTTTATCAGACTGCGGGGGACTCCAGTGCACAGTCTAGCTTGGATTTCAAAGGAGACTGCAGAGAAGTTCTTTATTTGCTGATCTGCCAAGTTAAGGCTAAACTTAGGACATAGGACATACACATGCCTTAGTGAGACATAAGAGAATGGAGGATTAGAACCTATCTCAACTGATGTACTTCCTCGGGGGGAGAGGGCGGGGGAGGGGGGTGGATAATAAAGATTCATTGGTTTATCACTGTGATGGAGCTGCTTTTTGTTGTTTAGGAATAGAATAAATCTCTTGCTGCACTTTCCTATCTCAGGAAGGATCATACTCATCTGTTTCAGTGTCCTTTCTTATTCAACATAAACTATATACACATCCTAAGGCTATTTTCCCCTCAACCTAAACCACTGCTCATAGTGGCAGAACAGAACTGCATAAAATTACATAGTTCAGGAATAAGTCTGAAGAGAAACAACAGATACAGAGGACATGTGCATCTATTCTCCCTTTTACATCTGTTTTGCTCTCTAGCAAACAAACCTCTGATAGTTTCAAGAATGATACATTTCAGGGTTGTAATGCACATAGTAATAGTAACAGCTTATATGTAATAGGGGTTATTTTCAAATAGTTGTGCTATATGTAGAATATTTGGTTTAGTGCTGTTGCCAGTTTCTTGTCACTAGGAATTAAAATTCCTAAAAGTGAACCTTCAATGCAAAACCTACTAAAACTAAAAGGACTGTACACCTGTCCCTACGCTAGAAGTTGAATGAGCCCTGCCATGGGAAATTCACAATCACGGCAGTGACACATTTATTCACCTCCATTTTCAAACATTTTCCTATTTGTTTTTCCTTCTGAGTCAATGTGAAGGGCTAGTGATAGGAAAGTCTCTTTTTGGGTGGGCTCCATCTGTTTCTGGGTGTGTGCTCACTTCTTCACCACAGCCAGAGGATGCAATGGGGACTAGAAGGCAGCAATGCGAATAGGGAAAGTGGCCAAGAACATGCACTGCTACAGGTTTATCCTGAAACTGATGCAAATTCTATGAAAAGGAGTCAAAATCCTAACAATGCAGAGAATATGTTTTTAAAAACAATTAAGTTCTAATGAATCAAAATATTTCTTTGGAACACAGATTCCCTTTCATCCAAACAAAAGAGTGTTCTCAGGTAACCCTAAGAACTTCGTGATATCACTTAAATATACCCATCAGAGGTAGAAAATGTCTTCAGTCTTAGATGTGCTGCACTCTATAGATACCAAAGCTCCTCAAGGTAACATTGAAGAATACAGCAGAACAGAAAATACAGCATGGGAGACATTAATTGTTGTCTGTATCAGAGATGGGAAACTGGATTCACATTTGTTTGTGGCTCTTTGGATGTAAAAAACAACAAAAAAAGCACAAAGTTTCAGTGGGTACCTGATATACAAGCATATTAAAGCAATGTTTTTAATCTCTCATGTTCATGTGATCAAAACTCAACAAACAGGCTGTTAATTTCTGGCTGAGCAGGACAGACCCTTCTAACTGAAGCACTGGTTTAACAGTTTAGGAACCCAACTTCTGCTTCCAGCTGTGCTACAATTTTTATCAATGGCTCTAGTGAAGTCTTTGGCTAAAAGTTCGGTGTGTAGTTTAAGCCAATCATCTAACTGGTTTCTAAGTTTCTTTGATAGCTGATGGGGAGAAACAGAAACCTCCAGAGTGCATCTCCTCCCTCCAGCAGCTGTTTTGGGAGGGGATAAAAGGGGTATTTGTCTTTGAAGGTGCCAATCTCCCTCTTCATTGATCACTGCAGAAGTACTCACAAGTTGAGATTATTACTGAGTCTTCAGGCAGCTGATGTTAACTGAGATGACCCTGGAGCACAGGGTAACTGGACCAGTTACCTGGTGTATGTACCTAGCCCAGTTTTGCAATGCCTAAGCAGGGGGCATGTGGTCCAACAGAGTGATCCAGAGTACTGTGCTGATCTCCAAGTTGCCGAGGCAATGCAGAGAGGCAAGTGCTGCTGTTGGCATTCTCAGTTCTCTGTATTGATTGCACAAGGTCAACCTTGCCAGGATGAACCGAAACCATGCCTTGGGTGCACCAACAGAAAATGCTACATGGAAGGATGAGCTTGAACAGCCCTGCATAGCAGTAATCCCAATCGGGATTAGATGCTGAGTGCACTCCTAGGGTGCGCATTCTATAGGGAGGGAGGAAGGAAGGGAAGGAAGGACAGAAGGCCAGTGCAGTAACTAGCACAGCAGAACACTTATCTTGGAAAAAAAGACATGGTTTCTAGATTATCCTCATTTTGAGGTGCTTTGAGCTCATAGCTGCCAGGATGACACCCTACTACAACGCTATCCTGTACGATTCTCTGCATTCCCCCTGCTCTGTCTGGGCCATCGTGCAGAAAAGAGTACAAGATTAAGGAATCAGAGAGAAAATTAGCAAGGGGAGGTACTGATGAGGGCTATTAGCATTTTATCTAATGTTTCTTCACGGCAGGATTCTTTAGCCATCCTGGAAGAGACACAAAAAGCCCACAGGTCCACATGAGTACGCTCAGAAATGGCTTCTTTCTCTTGTTCTGCTTCTGGCACTCTGGTTCTTTCAGAGCAGCCCAGCTTCAATGGGAGGGGTAGAGTTGAGGCACACCAGAGCTTGGCTGAGGCTTTGCTAAGCTAAGCAGAGCACCCTTCCAGCCCTTCCAGGCAGAGGATCCAGGCCTACAACCCATATTTCCCATTTCCACAGTAAATGCTGTTGCCACGAAACTCTAAGGAGCCACAAAGCAAAAGACAGGGCAGCGTCTCCAGGTACTTCACCGTATTTAATGGGATTTACTGGTGTTGGTGTTCAGCCTTTCCAAAAAACTGGGTCCCTCCAAGGACTTACGTGCAGTCCAGGTGCCTCCCTACTTATCTCAAAATCTCACGTGTTCCAGTGCCTATCAGTTCAGGCATGGAGAAGTCTGTGTACAAACACACAGGCAACCCTGTGGTCCAAAACAGCGATGCTGATGAAATGAGCTGCCTTTGTAGTCTGGCAAACCTGGAAAGCAGATAGTCTGAATCTCTTCCATGGACCACTGCCCTTCTGAGGGTCTGTTTTGGGTGCCAGAGGAGGCTGTTTCAACAACAGTCTCTAATCTTTCTGTGCCAGTTTCCCCATCTGCAAAAACATATCTATTAGCCATAATGAGTTCTGGTCATAGTCCTGAGTCAGAAACAAATGGAAACACTGAGATCTTTGGACAGAGCAAGGACAAAATATCTAGTCTGCATCTGTTCTCTATGGTTCCAAAGACAAGCTTGTAGGAAAATTATTACTTTTTCTGGAAACATGTTAAATTTCCTTTTTTTTCCCTCTTAGAAATGGAAAATGCTTGCAAGACTTTCTCATCTGCCAAAGCTTTGTTCCTGGAAGAAACAGCTGACTGATAGGGGACCGAAGCTCTGTCAATAGCCAGGGAAATTCCCAGGCACATGTACTTGCAGACCGATGGAAGCAGGTGACTGGTAAGACCTGTCTTACATGTTGACTTTATTTAATGCCAGGGACTTGCCCAGCCCTGAGCTCTCACTAGATCACTTTTTGGGTGGGGTGTCAGTAATATTTTCAGCTGATGGATATCAAATATTATTTGCAGAGTTGCCAGTGTTCTGGATGCTGCATGACTCATTGGATTTGGGAAGGAGTCCTACAAGCAAGTCGTTTACAGAGATATCTTAAAGAGCTTTGGTACATCTAACAAGTTGTGAGTTATCCACAGAATTCTTCAACACCTATCTTACTTGTTTGCTAGGACCTCTGTTCCGTACAAATTTATTATCATGCACACTCTTTTTATTGCCCAAGGTCCTGCTACCTTTGATAAAGATGTTCTTGACTGCTATGGCAGAGCTAGACATTTTGGGTCCCCCCTCCAGTCAACAGAACTCCAACTGGATGTGATTAGATCAATATTTGCCATGGAATTTGCTTTGAGTAAGCCAAACCTGCCCTTGCAACACCATTTTTTCCCCTGAATATCTGATCCCAGTTTTTGACACTTGCATTCACCATCCTTTTCACACATGTGACAGAGTCTCTGAAGTCCAGCTACTAGCCTGGAAACTCTCTGAGGAAGGGAATATTTCTTAGCTTGTCCTTTTAAATAGCAATTCTGTAAATAATGCCAAGCAGTTCCATTCAATATCCCATTTTCCACCCAACTCTCTGGAATTTCCCAGTCCACAAACGACATGCCACATACCTTAATATTTTCTTCAGGCCAAGAGTTTAGCATTGTTGCAATATGACCTTTGTCATGGATGGTGATAAACAAGCCCCTAAGAACAGAAAAAAAAAAAGAGAAGAAAAAGAAGCCTTGTCATAAAATTAATAACTCCGAGATAAAATAAAACAGGTGAAACTTGAATATGCAGGGAAATGAGCTACTCAGCACAAAACCAGGCTATTCTCTGGCATGGAAATGAGACCTCAAGGGACTGGTAATAACAAGTTTAGTTCTCATTCCAAAACCCCAAAGCTCAAGACCTTTAATGGCAACTCCAGTCAACAGCCAGTGGTGTTGCACATTTCACCCCCATTAAAAATCTTCGCTTCAGGGACTAACTTCTGCTTTAGTGCAGAAGAGCTTTCTAGTTAATGTAATTCTGATAAAAGCACGGGAGGCTGATGGTTTTACCTTAACCATTTTTACACATTATTTCTGAGGGAGATTATTGCTGGCAGTTCAAGCAATAAAACCATGATCCTTTTCACCCAGCTACCAGTGTTGATGCTGTGGATGGCTGTAGATGGCTATGGCAGAGCTAGACGTTTTGGGTCCCCCCTCCAGTCAACAGAACTCCAACTGGATGTGATTAGATCAATATTTGCCATGGAATTTGCTTTGAGTAAGCCAAACCTGCCCTTGCAACACCATTTTTTCCCCTGAATATCTGATCCCAGTTTTTGACACTTGCATTCACCAAATGGAAAACACCAAAAACTATGAGAAGTGAAACAGAAATGTAAATGTTTGGATTAAACCTCAGTATGAAGTATTTGCATGGAGAATAGCAGACCTGATTGTACTAAGGCTAATCCCTTCTCAACACAAAGGTCTTCAAAGTTTAAACAAAAATGACTTCTTCTTAATAAAATCAGGAACTGGAAGGCAGAATTCTTGAAACATGTTTTAGACCTGTGGCTTATTGTTCACCTCTTTGCTGTTTTTACTAAAAATAGTATCCTTAGCAGGGATTCTTCCAATACCCAGGATAGTATGATTCCCGTTGACTCATCTCTGCTCAGATATTTTGGGATTTTTTGAAATCCCAAAGAAACAACCTCCTCCATATCTGTCTCAGGGGGAATTGCTTATGTTGCTCACAGTGCTCTCTCATCAGCACAAATCAAGGGCTCGAACTCAATGTCTTCTGTTAGCAGGTGGAGACACCCATTTTCTTTGCCTTGCTGTCTTCTCACAAAAGCAGGAGTTGTACCAGTGATTAGTATCAGCTGGAACAATGGAGAAATGCATTTCTGCTGCTTACATTTCTCTTCTATCACTCAGCTCCAGTAAGTTCAGATCAGCTCACGGTTTGGGGTTTTAATGTGAAATATCAGCCAGAAAAAGTCTCATTTTTAGAGGAGGCTGAAAACAACTTCCATTGTATGAGTGATGAATAATCAAACACAATTGGGCTACTCTCTACAGCAAAGACTTCTCTCACAAGACTCTTCTAGGGGGCAGATATCTTCCCACAGTTAACTGTGGGAATCCTAATGAAAAAGGTCTTCACTTTGAAAAGAAGAAAAATTAAAGAGCCGACTTCAACACTGATCAAGTAGCAATCACACAGAAAGATCAGAAATGCAAAAACAAAAAAAAAAAAAGAAAAGTAATGGTTCATTTATTCAGCATAATTCTTTAAAACTGTGCCCAGTAACCAACAAACTAATCACATACACATGGCCTATCTGAAAGGCAGTATTCACAGATGTTAATCTTCATTAAAAAAGAGTACTGTACTGCTGCCATATATGTTTAGAAAATAGTTATTAACCAGGAATTAAACACATAAATTAGTAACATCATTGCCGATACTTCAAGTTATGACATGCTGTTAAAAGGAATGCTATTGTTTTAATGTAATATTTTCCGTACATAATAAAGACAGCTATTGTTAAGTGTCTAGCTGTGTGTCTCACACATTCACATCTCTTCAGTGCTGAAGCGAGTCCACCAGCTATTTAACCTTTGAAAGACATCCAGTGCTCGCAGGAGAAGCTGAAACCCAACTGCCTACCCACCACCGGCCCTGCAGCTGGATGAATTGCTAGTTGTTCCCTACAAAGTGGAGAGGGCAGATACCCGCTGCCTCTGGAGAGCTCCTGACTCCGACTGTTGTCTCGGGACGGCAGTGGGCTGGTTTCCAGTCCCTGCTCTGGATCTGGCAGTGTAGAGAGTTCAGCCTAGGTCTTCCAAAATCTGATGACCACTCTCACTACGTTCCCTGGGAGAAAGGCTCTCATGGATATCACCACGGCATGTTTTGCCTGAGGAAGGACTGGCTTGGATAACACCGCCAGGTCGGTGACCGAGAACCAAGCATCCCTCTCAGAATTTGCATTCCCTTCCTTAATGTTATGTTTATTTGATGTTAAGCAGACCCTCTCATCGAGTATGCTGACTTCCGTGGATCCTTTTCTGAAAACTAAATGTTTGCCACACACATTCATTCTCCCTTCAGGCCACGCCACTGACCAGATTCCCAGTCCTAGCTGCTGACCTCCGCTGTCAACGTGCACGGAGCAATTCAGGTGAAAAATTGCTCCTTACGTTACTCCAGGCAAAATCAGATGGCTTTATTTAGACTAACAATTAACACGCTAAATGGCACTAACAGCTTTGGAAGGGAAACCTTCAGGAGCAGAAACAGTGATCCATCTGGGGAAAGTCACCTTTCTCACCGACAAAGCCACACCGGCAAGGGGGCACACAGCTAAGCAAGACTCATACTCCTCTAACGCTGAATCTAAGAGCCAAGGGCCCAGTTTCAATAGAACCCAGAAGTTTCCAATGCCTTTAGGCACCCATCTGGACCTGGTCCAGGCACTGTGGACTCCATCAGCTGTTCAAACAATCAATTCCTGGTAGGGGTGAGCTGGAAGTCCCTTTGCAGATGAAGTATGAAATGACCAACTCTGACAGGCAGTTCAGTGAGTTCACTGTGCTTTTGAGAAGATGGAAAGGGAAACAAACACACAGCAGACTTCAGACTCGGGGGTCGCAAGTAAGTTCTCATTTTGAATGGTCCTTGGGAGAGTTGTGCTCTCTCCCCTGGCGATAATCCCACAGAGATGAGCTGGCCAACTTACCTGTTGAAGTAAGATGCCTAAAATTGGCAGAGGGTTAATCTTTCCTAAAATCCCTCCTTGCAAGGCAGGCAGAAGGAACAGACAATCTCCACAATCTGAACTCAGCAAAAGCTTTGCTGACAACTGAACAGAGAGGAGTGGCAGCCAGGCTTCTCTCAAGGGTACACAGCTTATAGGAGAGGTAACAGGAGCAAAAACTTATTTGTGCCTTTGAGGACAGAGTAGAGCTCTGAATACTGAGCATGACAGGCTGGTCTGTGTAGACCAGTAGTAAATAAGAAACATCCAAGAAGCAATAAAAACAATTAACTTGATTTTTCTGAGGAAAAGATGCAGCCTCAGCATTCTGAAGAGGGAATGCAAGGGATGCTGCCTTTATCATCGTGCCTTCTCTCTTGGGATTTTGTTTAAATTGCTTCAGAGAAACAAAAAGAAAATGAGGCAGTTTTACTTTGATCACCTTGAGACTCAATAAAAATAACTCAATTAAAATAAGAAGCTAAAAAGATAAGTCATTTGTATCAAGTCATGTAACATGGGCACCACGTGGGGCAAACGTGCATCCTGGTTTTCCAGACCAGAAGACTCACTTGTGTCCAGGATCCTGCCATTCGAGTCCTGCCTAGGCATTCCACATCTTTATCCCCCTCAAGGCAGCAGCTGTCCACACAGCTGGAAGCCAAATAGATGTGTGCGGGGGTAAAAATACAAGAAATCAGAGTTTAGTAAAAATTAACTGCCCCAGCAATGTCAAGCCAGAATGTCCACACTGTACCACTATTTCTGGCTAAACAGTAACCTTCAGAGAGCTGTTACCTTTACTGGGGTAATTCAGAGTGGGGAGTGCTCCACCCTGCATTCATTAGGGTTTCAGAGCTCCAGGCTCCTGTTCAGTCCATTAACATCACAGGTTTCTCTACAGCTGCCTTCAGTTAAGGTGGAAGTCCGACTAGATTTTATTGTGCCACTAAGCACATCTGTAAAGTTCCAGGAAACTTCGAGGAGAGTTACAACTTCTTAATTTGTCACTGAGAGAGTATTTATCTGGATTTCAGCAAGTCAAGCTGCCTGAACCAGACTGCAGGATCCAGCAGACTCTGTCAAAGGGTTTGGATATGTTCATCGACACCACACAAGACCTTTTCTCATTCCTAAGCTACAAGCATTTTCCTTTCTGATTTTTTTCTGGCTGAGCTCATAGAAGTGCTCCAGGGATTACAAAGGTACATACACAGCTTACCCTGTGAGGCATGGGAAGGATCCTGCTCTGGTGCTCAGTACTAGTTAGATCTTGGCCATCCTGATAGCATTTTGAAAGACCCACAATGAAGACAATCCACAATTGCAAGGCTCATTTTAGAAAGAGTTCAGGGACAAGGGAGACAAGACACATTTGATGCCTAGAGTAAGCAATGCCAGACACTGGTGATGGCTTTTTAGAATAACATTAATTTCTTTTAGACACGTAGAAAGGAGCAAGTTTTAACCTATCTCAGGTATTAGGAAACAAAAATATTCTTTAATGCTTTCATTCAGTGAGTGGTTACTTCTTCAAAAAGGGAAAGTAGCGTTCTCCTTTCTGATCCTCATGGTTAGCAATGCTGCCTTGTGAGTTATTTCCCCTTAGAAGAAACATTGTATGAAGGAGCCAGTGGTGCTATCTCTAAAGCACTATCGTTTATTTACAGAGAATGTGCAAAGCTTCATTTCCCAAAACTCAGAGGGGAGTGAAAAAGATTATGCAACTTCTTTCCACACAACTCCAAATCTTTCCTCACTTCCATTCTACCCAAAAGTCTTCCTCCCTCTCCCTAATAGCTTTTCCTTGGCAATTACTGGTGCTTTTGTGGCTGAGCCTGCAACCCTCCTGGTGTTGTGTCACTCCACTTTTCTAAACTTCTGCTGCCTCTGACATGCAATCAAGCAGAAATCCAATGCAATCAATGCCTTTGCTTTATCA